AATGCCGAGGCTCAGATAAAGAATCTCCCTGTCCTGTAGATGGCAGAGTGAGCGGAGACACTAACAGGGCAGCCATGTCAGGGAAAGGCCCCTCTCTCCCACCCAGCGCCCCCCATACACACTCACCAGAAGTGATCAGATCCACCGGTTGCTCCACGTGTCCTACCCACACCTCCAGCATTGCCTCAGTCATACATGTGGTGACCAGATAGCAGCAGAGAGTGGGCTCTTTAAATAAAAAGGAGGCTAATGGGGGGAATTGCAGCAGCAACATGGAAACCCAGGCAATAGCAGGAGGAAGAAAGTGTGTGTGAGAAAATAGAGTCCAGCTGCCTTTTGAAACCTTTTGAGAAACTAAGAAGTGGAGGGAGGCTGCAATACAGAACAACATGGATCTGAAGGCCAGGAGCCTTCAGAACTGCCCTTAGACCTGGGAAACCAGGGCTCCTGCTCTGGATTTTATTATTACAGGACCCTGCTCTGCCCCTACCCCTCCAGCTGTGCCCCTCCCCACACAGCAATGAGTCCACAAGGCCTCCAGAACCTATGCCCCAACTGCACTTTCTAGATTATGCTTCAGTACCCAAGACCACAGGGTTCTCCATCACAATGGACCTGAATTAATTTACAAGGTCTGCATAGGTCCTTTCCTGAGCTCATGATACAGAAGGCATATTACTCTACTGAATCTATGTTTCCCTCAGTGCAAGGGGTGGCAAAGGTGGCTGTTTATAGAGATGGTAGAACGTGGAGAGATTTGGGAGTCTTTGGATGGGCTGACACCAGAGTGCACACAAGGACTCTCAACATGCTGAACAGAGATAAGAGCGGGAGGAGTGGAGAAGAGGACTGGACTTTGGACCACGGGCCACCATTCACAGTCTTTCCCTGGGTCTTGAAAATGTTAGAAGTGGGCCTGGACTTCTTATACACACCATAGTGTGAAAGAGTGCCCAAATCCTTCTACAGAAAAAACAACCAAAGCCTGCTTTCTCTTCTCAGGACCACTACCACAAATGAGCTGATAGTACCAATGCCTGGTCATGCTACTGAACCCATCCATTCTACTATGCATGAGGCAAACAAATGCAATGCCCCAAACCCCAAACGGCTCCGTTCTCAAAGGCACCTCATTTCCTTTCTCCAAATTCCCTTTCAGCATTAAAGGTTGGTCTATTAGAAATTCACCTAAGGCAATGACCATATTATCAGACTCTATGATGAAGTAGAAGGAGCCACTTAATTTATTTTTTGACAGGCTTTTGCCCTAGGGCATATACATTCACCTGAAAGAGAGACA